CCCACGGGGGGGTGGGAGCGCGGGCCGGGGGGGGGGGGGGCGGTGCTGGGTCTCTAAGATCCTGAGGTTTGGGGGCCTACGGGGTGGGGGGTGGATAGGGGTGTGGACTGGGAAACAGCCCAGGGCCCTGACAGCCCACCCATGTCGGGAGGGAGGTGTGGACCACACGGGGCTTGGAGGACGGTCATGCATGGGGTCAGAAGTGCAGTGCAGGCCAGTGGGCGCCTGGCTCATGCTTGTCTGCTGGCTCATGCTTGTCTGGAGTCCCGGAGGGCTGGGGGCCTCTGTCTGTGTTTACACGTGCACCCTCCTGCCTCAGCGGCTGCCCTCCTCCCAGGGAGCCGGGCAGGTGACCCAGGGCCGTGATCGGGCATCCTCTCCATCGTCCTGAGGGGTCCCTTGGGGTGGGACTCTGGGCTGGGCTGGGGTGACCATGTGGTATGACCAGCCTGACCCGCCCTTCTCACCCGGCACCTCCAAGGTGACTGAGGTGGCAGGGACTGGAGGGGCGCAGGGCCCTGAGGAGGAGCATGGTTCCTTGGGTCCTCACTCTCAGGCCTGCGTCCCTCTCTCCCCGGCCTGTGGCACTGCCTGTGTGGCCTCACGTCAATCCGCAGAGGAGCTTGCGTGGCCCTGCCCTGTAGCTGGAGGCTGAGGTCGGCACATGGAGTCCCATGTGTGGCCAAACATCGCACGGGCCACTGGTCAGTGACCACCGGACAGGCTTCTCGCTCTCTGGGATCTCCCGACTGCTGGACAGTAAAAATCTGGAAAGGACAAAATGAAGAAGAGATGCTGCCTCTGAGGGTGATTTCAAGGAAATGACTACAGAAGGTGACGCCTAAAGCCAGCATTACAGTGCCCGAGGGAAGCCCATGGGTCCAGGGCTGGGGAGGTGGGCAGCGCGACGCTGTGCCACGCCTCTGCCACAGGGCGCAGCACGGAGCCTGGGAGGCCTCTCGGCTTTGCCTCCCGGGTCCAAGAGCTGTGCCTTCCCTGCGCCCTTGGGCCTGGGCCAGTGAAGTCTGACTATGGTCAGCCTGCTGCGCAGTCCGGGCCGCCCAGGGCTCGTCCTCACCTGCTGGAGGGGGCAGAGAGAGGAAGCGCTCCTGCAGGGGCCCGCGCCGGCGTCCGTGTTCCCCTTTCATGAGAAGTGTGCTCACGCTGGCGTCCAGCGCACAAAACCAGGCCAGCCCAAGCCAACAGCAGCGCAGCACTGGAGTGTGCGTGAGGCTGTCGGATGGGAACAGCGACAAGAAGGCCTTTGTGAGCAGACAACGTCCTCTCGGTGCGGTTTGCGTCGCCCGCGTGTGCGCGCCCATTCCAGCCATTCTGAGAGGTACATTTTTCTCGCCTTTCAGCATCGCTGAAACCAGTGCATGCCGCAGTCCGTGGCGGTCACAGCTGTGCTTCAGCTGCGGAGGACGCGCAGTTTCAGCCTTGGCCACTCACACCAACGCCGGTCCCACCAGCGACATCGTCGCCTCAGCACCGCCCGTGCCCATGACTGGCACTGTGCGTGTGAACTGTCAGGACACCTCGCACGCCCCAGGAAGGCTGCGCTGCGACCGGGCGTTGAGGCGAGTGACGGTCACGGCGCACTTCGGCACTGTGCATGCAGGGAGGCCTGCAGCAAAGCCGAGACCCTGCCGGTGCAGTGCGTGTTCGTGATTGGAGAACTGATTGTGCTCCCTCCCATATTTTCTCAGCCATCAGTAACCGAGTGCTTCAGATCGGAGAGATTTCAAAGCACCGAGCATTACACAGGTGACTGAAGGAATCAGGGGCGGCGCTAGGCGTTGAAGCCGGGGTGCTGGGCACCCTGAGCAGTGCGGCACCGCGTCCCCTCCCCGTCCCGGAATCGGGTTCGGTCTCTCCTTCCGCGCTCCCAGACGAGCAGAGCATCCCACAGGCAGGCACCCTCGTGCCCATGAAGTGTGGCTGTGGAGAGAGACACAGAACTGCTTGGTGAGAGCAAATGCTCCTGTCCCCCAGAAGTCGTGTTCCGCACATGGCAGGCCCCGCCCAGCCCGAAACCCCAACATCATGCGCACCTCGATCTTTGGCCGCTCCCATGAAAACTGATCCCAATGTAACACTGAGCAGAATGTCCGAGGCAAGTGTTCTCGACACAGGGACAGCAGGCCGTGCGGGTCCGGTCCTCGAAGGAGGCAGATGCAGATTGTCGGCCCTGTGTCTGGGAGCAGCGCCCAGGCGGGGCAGGAGGGGCGCGAGTGGAACTCTCGCGACGCCCTGACCGTTCCATACATTAAAGATAAGTGGAAGTCTCTGGTTGTCACAGCTCACTCAGAACTTGAGGCTCTTTGGAATGTGTGCTTCCGCCCGAGCAGAGGGGTGAAGAAAAGGCAGAAACAACAAAGCCAGCTGGGCTTTCCAGCTTCCCATGCCTGGCCCTGCCCTAGCCAAAGGAGGAGATGCCTGGGGCCTTAAATCCTCCGGGCTGGCGTCCGGGACACAGAGAGGAAGGCTTGGCGGGGCCCACAGCAAACCAGGGGAGGAAGGCAGGAAGTCTTCTGCGGACAGGTGGGGAGAGAGGCCCATTCATGGCGCCTGCACCAGGGCCTCACCCTGGGCCGGGGCTGCTCCCAGGGACAGGGCTGCCCTGCACTCATCGTGTAGGCCCTGGTCCTCGCCGCCTGCTGGACTCCAGTTCCCGAGATGCCAGCTTCCTCGGCTTCTCCCTGGGGGTGGAGGCCAACCCCCTGCCTCAGTTTCCTTCCTCCTAGAGTCACCTCACAGATAAGCCTCCTCACCAGGCCTTGTCCTTGTATTGGCTTGATGACGCCTGCACCAGGCAGAGAAGCTGTCCTGTCAGCCCAGCAAGTGGTGTGGCCATCTCCTGAGAGGAGGGAAGGGGTTTGCATGTGTGCACATGTGTGTGTGTTTGCGCGCGCCCACGGTACTGGGAATTGGACGCGGTCTTTGCACTGAATTGCTGTCCCCCGGGGGAGGAAAACCACGGAGGCTCTGGACAGTGCAGCAATCTTGGTGACCCTCCAGGCAGGTGGCCACAGGTGGGACAGGGCCTTCCCGGACCAGTCTTCCTTCGTGGAGGCCGGTTCTTCCTCTCCCTCTTTCCAGTGGTCTGGGACAGCCGCCCAGCGTGCGTCCTGCTCTCTGCGCAGGGAGAACCAGCCCTGAGCCCCTGCCCCCTGCCACCCCTTTAGTCCTGGTGTGTGCAGAGCCCATTCTCCCTGAACAGCAGTGGCGGCAGGTCTGCAAGCCAGCACTTGGCCCGAGCTTAGCCTTCAGTAGGGTCTGTGGCGACGTTTGTAATTGTCTCTCCAATGAAAGGCAAGAGCTGGCCTAAGAACGCATCCAGGGCAGAGGGCTGAGAGGTGGGAGAGGGAGACCGAGGTGGGACAGCGTCCTCTGACACCTGGATCCACCTGTGCCTGAAGGAGACATGAAGCTGGCGGTCCCTTCCGTGGAGGCCAGTGAGTACCCTGGGGTGCAAGCTTATTTGAGCCAGGATGACCTCTCTCAGTTCCATCCTGTCTTCCCATGAGCGTCCCCGTGAGCTGGTCTGCTCCCCACGCACAGGTCCCCACACGACACGGACAAACCACAGTGGGGCACAGAGAGGTCCCGGGATGGCAGGAACCCAAGCTGTTTGTGGAGTGGGGCCGGCGCAGGTGCCCATCCTGCAGTACCAGCACGGGCAGCTGTGCAAGGCTGGCGCCACTGGGCCGGGTCTGACAGAAGCAGAACTGAGAGCTAAGAGGGATTTTACAGACAAGTTCAGTGAGGCACAAGTAGGTGCCGTAAACTGCGTACACTGGGGAGCACATGGAACGAGGTGCCGCGGCCTCTGTGCCCAGCTCTCTGTCCCCGAGGTTCTCCCACAGCCCCCATGCAGAGCAAGCAGGAGATCTGGGGACTCAGTCGGTAGGAGCTGGCCAGACAAACGAGTGGAGAAGGAGGTAACAAGGGCCCAGTATGAGGCGAGGGTGCAGGGCCCCGGGACTGCTGGGCACCTCATCCTGGCAGGGTCAAAAGCGAAGAGACGAAATTTCAGCTGCAGCCTGAGGAGATAGAGGGAGGGAGCTCCCCAAGCCACTACGCGGATCACTAGCAGAAATGGAAACCTGCTCTCAGGGCCTTAGTTTTTGAGAAGATAGTCTTCTCTTTCTGAGCTGACGTAGCCCCAGCACAGCCTAAACACAGAGGAATGGACTAAAGTGTCCTGAATTCGCCTGTGGGTCTGACTCAGTTATAAAGACTGGTTTAAACCAGGTGCTATGGTACATACCTACATCCCAGCACTCTGGGAGGCTGAGGCAGGAAGATGGCAAGTTGAAGCTCAGCCTAGACCATTTAGGGACGTGGCGAGAGCCTTCTTAAACTAAAAAAAGCGAAAAAGGGCTGCAGATGAGGCTTAGAGTGAAGGCCCTGGGTTCAATCGCTGGTTCTTCAGGAAAGGGGGAAGCGGTTTAAAGTTTTATGTAAAATCCCTTAGAAGAGTAGCTCCTTGAGTGAATGTTAAAAGCACCTGAACCTAAGTGGATGGGCTCCGCCTGTGCTGAGATCCAGGTGGTGAGCAGTTGTGTGGCGCAGGATCAGCAGCGTGGACACAGGTCTGTCCCACACCTGCTCCCGCCCACACACCTGGTCTTGGGCGCCAGCTCCACGAGGACCGGTAGCGGGACAAATGCGGCCTCCTATTGACCCCAAGCAAATCACCACTGGGACATCATTTTAGGCTCCGCGATAGCGGGGAGGCCTCATTAATACCGGTGCTCTTTACGCATAAATAAACTCTGCTCGATTTCCCCACACATCCTCTCCCAGGCAATAAAACTTGATGGCTGCGATTCTCCCGCTGAGCAAACACCATCTTCTCCATCTCGGGTCTCTTCAGCACTTCGGGGCTGCAGCCGGTCAATCTGCGCCGCTGGAGGACCGTCTTGTTTACCTTTTATAAGGCCACACCGAGGCTCTATCAGGAATTAATGCCGCACGGCTTGGAAAGCGATTCCAGAGCTGGACCCATGGGGGGAACATCACTGAGATCGGGAGAGACACAAAGTCACCCCGCTGCCCTCACGGGGCCGGAAGGGTGGCGTCCGTGTCCCCGCAGGTTCTCCCCATGAGTGTTTCTGTTCCTGGTATGGAGCCCAGTGTCCAACAGACTGAGAACTACGTGAGAATTTATTGAATAAAAGAAGGGATGAACCGGAGTGACCATCGTTCATGTTGAGTGTTTCTAACTTTTCTTAAACACAAAAGTGCTTAAAGTCTCTGTGGACAGAAGTTCCCCCCAAGAATAATTTTATGACTTAGAATTTTAAAGATATTAATATCGTTTATCTTTCTCATATTTTTGATATTGCTTCTAAAAGTGATTTAAAATGGACTTACGATTTTAGCATCACCTAGATTTAGAGCGAACCTCTAGTCTCAGAAGATGGGCACCTGATCCAATGTCTCGTGTCATGAAAGAATAAGAAGGGGAAGAGGGAGGCTCTTCTGGTGAAAAGAGATTTCAAAGACATAAAATAAAAGCAATGTGTGGACCATGACTTGGTTTTTTTTCCCCCAAACAGAACAAGAATTATTTGGGGGGATATATGGAAAGAATGTTAGCCAATATAGAGGATTTGTTATTAATTTTATTAACTGTGATCATAATACTTTGCTTATGTAGGGAAATGTTCTAACTTTTTGGAGATGCATAATCAAGAATTTCGGGATGAAATGGCACGAGTCTTATTTTTCTCTCATTGCTGAGAAAAAATACTCAACACACAAAGTTGAAGGAGGAGAGTTTTATTTGACTCACAGTTTGTAGAGGCTTCAGCCCATAGTCGGCTGGTTCCAAGGCAGGGTGGCATGGCCAAGGGGTGTTGCAGAGGAGAAACAGTCTGTGGTAGGCAGGCAGGCAGAAACACATGAGCTCTCTTTCTGTGCCTTGAATTTTAGGCAGGCCACCTCCCCTATGGCGAGTGTAGCCCTCACACCCTTAATCCTAGCCAGAACTATGCCAAACCAATCAGTGGTCAAATTCAGTTACCACACACCCTTGATCCCAGCACCATATACCCTAGATCCAGCCACCTCTGAAAAGCACCCCTTAGGGCTTTGGGGGGTTGGGGAGACATCTAGATGCAAAGCTGTGTTAGTAACTTTTCTCTCATTGCTGAGACAAAATACCTGACACCCAAAGCTAAAGGGAAAAAGGTTATTTAGCTTATAGTTTGTAGAGGTTTCAGTCCATAATCATCTGGCTCTAAGGCAGAGTGGCACCCACACTGAAACAAAACAAACAAGGGACCTTAACAGCATCTTTCTGCCCCTTTTATTTTATTCAGACTACTTAGGGTGGGTAGCATCATATCCTTAATCCTGCCCTCAGGCCTAGCTTTGCAGCATTGATCAATCACATACTCTAGATCCAGCCAACTTTGAAAAAGCCCCGTGTAAGACCTCATGAGGCTTTGGGGTCAGGCATCTAAACACAAGCCATAACATTCGGCCCCCGGCCCCCGAAGACTCATGCACATCCCTTTATGCAAAATGCATTTAGTCCATCTCCAAGAGTTGCCAAAGTCCTAACAATTCCAGCATTGCTGAAAATTCCAAATCCAAAGTCCCCTCTGAGATTTAAGAGAAATTCTTAGCTGTACAAACGAAAAGAAAGTTAAACACTTCCAACATTCAATGGCACAAGATACACGTTTTCCTTCCAAAAGTTATGAACAGGGGGATACAAAAGAATCAGGACAAAGCAAATCCAAAATCTAGCAGGACAAACATAAAATTCCCAGTTCCACTTTCAGCATCCTGGAGACTGTGTGGCAAGTTGTGATCTCCCAGGGATTCCGGTGGCTCTACCCCTGCGGCTCCCACAGCTTCTCTGTTGGATAGGCTCTGCTCCTTCCTTGAAGCTTTCTGGAAACATCCCATGCTTCTGGCTTCTCCAGACTTCCAGGGTCTGAACCGTAGGCTTCACACTCATTGCCTCACACACTGCCCTCCAGGGCACCCTGCCCGGCCTCCCAGGCCTTCTTCTGAAATCTGGGTGGGAGCCTCCCTGACCTCACAACTCTTGCATTCTGCATGCGCCTAAAACCAGTGCCACGTGGATGACGCCAAGGTCTGCTGCCAGCTGGAGCAGCGGCCGGGTTTTCCTCTCTCTTGGCTGTAGGGCTCGAGTGCCTATGAACTAAATCTAGAGGAACAACTTACCCAGGCCCCCACCATCCTGAAACGTGCTCTGGGGCCCTCTCTGCAAAGCGCAGTCCTTCACTTTTGCAATTTTGAGTCTGCGAATGGATGGAGCCCTGCTGCTTCCTGGGATGCCCTCAGGCTATTTTTTCTGTTGTCCTTTTCCAAAGCACTTGGCTTTTTAATGTTAATCTTCTTGGCAACCAAATTTTATCTTTGCAGGCTGCAACTTTACCAGAACTTCCTTTGTAACCAAACTCAAAATGTTTAAAATCATTCTGCTGAGCTCTCTGCTCAACATGGACCTGGCTAAAAGCCCCCAACAGCAGCCGCGTCCCCAGGTAGGCGAGTGGCTGGGCACTCTAGACGCACCAGGCAGCGGGGTGGGGGCTTCGAGAAAAGAAGCCACGGGACGGAAGAGTCGGAAGTGGAAACGCATCTAGAGCTGAGGAAAAGAGGCCGACCTGAGAGGGCTGCAGCCTGCGTGGCTCAGCTGCAGCTCTTTAGAAAAGGCGAAGCGGGAGAGAGAAATACAGCCAGTGCTGGGCCGGAAGCAGTAGGGCACAGGAGTCCTCCATGTGACCTCGGCATGTGCGTGACCTGCGGGTCATTTGTGAGGCCCACGCGGGGTCAGCACGCGTGAGCGCGAGGTGAAGCGCAGGCTCAGAGCGGGACGTGGTGGTTCGAGCTCACCGAGGACCACAGGTCTGCGCCTCCGGTCTGGCTTCGGCCCCGGGGAGGCTGCATGCGTGCTGGGCTGTGTGCGCGGAAGGTGAAGAGGAGACGTGAGCGCGTCCTGCGCACTGCGGTGGCTCCCACTTGTGCTCACACCTCTGCCATCGGCCTGCATTGGCAGGGGCAGCGCGGGTCCCGCGTCCTGGCCCGCAGCCCCTGATTCCGGCTTGGATGCGGCTTCAGCGGGAGGGAAAGGGGCGGGCGGCTCAGAAGCGGTCTTAGAACAGCTGCCTGAGAAAGAGGAAGGCAGAGTTGAGCGCGCACCTCAGTCCTTACACCAAAACATCACGGGGTGGTCTGAAAATTTAGATGCAAAGAAACATGAAATATTGGTTCTTAAACTCAGAATAAAGAAGATCTCTCTTAGGCAGAAGCTAAACAGAGAAAGGGTAAAGGGGCGGGCGGCTCAGAAGCGGTCTTAGAACAGCTGCCTGAGAAAGAGGAAGGCAGAGTTGAGCGCGCACCTCAGTCCTTACACCAAAACATCACGGGGTGGTCTGAAAATTTAGATGCAAAGAAACATGAAATATTGGTTCTTAAACTCAGAATAAAGAAGATCTCTCTTAGGCAGAAGCTAAACAGAGAAAGGGTTTGAGGGTTCGATTCTGTTACAGGTCGGCTTATGTCCTCCAGAAAGACGTGGGATTCCTAACCCGGGGTGCTGTGCTGCAACCTGATGGGGTACAGAGTCTCCATGGGTAAAATCAGAATCTGTTCAGGTCACGGGGTGGGGGGTACGGGGAGGTGTGAGCCCAGCAGGGTGGTGTCTGAGAGGAGAGGGGCGGAGGCAGAGGGAGACGTGCGGTAGGAGGGCTGCAGGGTCCGGGTCAGCCAGGGCCGCCGCTGCCCGCTGAGGGGGACACAGGGGACACCCAGAGCTTCGGGGAGCAGGAGAGGAAGCCCTGCCTCACCTGACCCGGACTCCAGCCGTCCTGATCCCGAGAAAACACATTTTGGTTGTTTCAGGTCTCCCGGTTTGTTGGGACATCGTATGGTAGCCTTAGAAAATGTGTGCAGACTGTGAAAATGAAAAGATTGGCTCAGAAAAAGTCAAACTCCAGTAAAAATTAAATGATTGAGTTCCAGCAATGACAAGGTTCAAAGGTCAGCAGATCTTCTTCCCACACATCTGCAAACTGGATGAAAGTGTTTAAAAATAATCACGTCAGGACCATGGGACAGACCAGAGGAAAACGAAAATGACAAAATGAGGAGAATGGCTGGG